TGGTGGACTGTCGCTTCACAGGCACAGACAACTCTGCCTTCTGATCTGACAGTATGTTGCTTTTCTCCAAGTCATTGAGCTCTGCTGATGAAACACTGACAAACCTGGATGTGTGCTCAGATGGATTCAGCTTCTCCTCTCCCTCATCTTCCTCTGATGACCATTCATAGTTCAATTCAAAACTTATTTTAGGAAATAAATCCATATTTTTGGCTGTTTGGCAGTGGATGAATTAATTAGCCTACAACACACCTGCTGACCTAACTGACACTAACCGTCAGTTTTGATTTGATTGTTGATTGCAATCAGCTGTGAGGCGGAGTGATACATACACAGTGAAATAACCGTGATGTTGTACTCCAATATCATCACGGTTTTACTGTCTCTCGACCAATCAGATTGCAGGGCCGGAACTAACTGTTGTATAATAGACATTAATCAGTTATGATGCATCATGGATTCTTTTAAATACATGAAAATGCATCACACGTAGCACCAGTAATGAAACATTATGTTGAAGCATGCATTATTATAGACACATCAATATGTGTCTATAATACATGTGACATGTATGTCACTTTACTTAAAGATACTCTTACCTTTCTTGCATTTCACACAATAGCACTGAGAAAAAATTTGAACATCCACAACTCCCGCCTCCCTCCAAAGTCCCATCACCCTCCTCCTGCAACTCCACCTCCCTCCAAAGGCCTACTCCCCCCTCCTCCATTATGTCCTCATTAAGTCTATGATAGACATAGGTGTTGGCAAGGTAACGTTAGATACACGGAAGAGGAGCGTGAATGTAACATTACAACCAAGACAGTCAAATGCGGGTCCATGTCATTGGTCCGACATCCCATTAGTCTGACGGTCCGCGGTGCTGAATGGCTCCCGGCGGGCGTATTTCTGCCTTGATGGTGCGCTGCAACCGGCTCTGGGTCAGCTGGGAAAGGCTTGAGGCGAAGCAGGCTCACACCATGATCTTTTCCTAACCCTAACCAAGTGGTTTTTGTACCTAAAACTAACCAGACCTTAACCACAAGGCGTCATGATGATTTCGGAACGGACTTCGGAACAATGGGTTTAATATGGTTGGAACAATGGGATGTCGGACCAATGGGCTGTCGGACCAATGGGCAGTTCCTGTCAAATGCAACCCCGGAGTTTTAAAAACTCAATGTGAGTCAGTAGCCATGTTTCCATCAGCCTGTTTAGACGCGCATCTAGATGTATCGCATCGGAAAATTATGATGGAAACGCCAAAATTCGAATTAAAATCCCCTGATTCGCACAAACTAAAATATGCTCGCTTTAGCCGGGTTTTGGTTGATTCGAAAAAATTTTGATTCGCAAAATGGGGGATGGAAACAGTTATGTTCGAATTAAGTCTGACGTAGCGCACCTCTCTCCATCGTGATATCCACACTCCGGGTCGGGAAGGCAGTAATGCATTTACAAGCTGGTTGCCAACCGCCAGAAAATGTAGAAGAAGAATGCGAGACTTGTTTTGTTTCCAGTTCTGCGGAAAACTTGCGCGAGTTCGTAGTTTTCACCAAAGTCCGTATATTTAATGGAAACACACAGGAATTGTATTTCTTTTAATGTGCATTTCCCAATGATTCGAATCACTTTTATCCAAAAGGCTACAGTAGGCTAACTGTTAGCAACTGAATGCTGTGTTGTCATATAACGTTATAGCCTATGTTACATTAGAGGCAAACTAAAAATGTCTGTCCATGTTGTTACGTGAGCGGTTACATCAGTCAGAGGCCTCCACGTGGGGACAACAGACAGGACGCTCAGCCAATCATTGCATTCAGTCCAAATGCAATGATTGGTTGGAGTTTTCTTACAACCATATGAGAATGGTACAATTATGAGTTTTTATTTCTGGTGGAATTCACTTACATTTTAGTGTGCCATCAGCTTATTAATAGCATTTTAATCGAAACAAAGAAAAGCGTAAAATTTCCAAAAAGATAAGTGTCGCTTTAACACGTAAAATGATAGCTTATAACACTGCATGGACTGTTACACTGTGAGTCCTTACTACAGGGTATTGTTGAGGTGTGTACCTTCATAACTGGTCAAGAGTATCCATAAGACACTTATAATTCATTATGACTGTTGATGTAGTGCACCAGCAAGCATCATGTGTGTTTATGAGTGCAGTCATAGAGCATTATAAAGGCATTGTAATTCACTATAAATGCCCTCATAGCGCATTAATGATGTGGTCTTCAAAAAAAAGTGTTACCGATATGTATTTATAATCTGAAAATATTTGTGATAAAGGTTTCAATTTATCTGACAGGTACAGCACATGCTTTTCTCATGCATTATTTACTCATCAGATCTTCCTGTGGTGGTAACAATCATAGCCGTACTGGGGAAATTTGCTGCTACTGCCTGTTTCAGCACAGCCTATGTTTACACTGCAGAGTTATACCCAACCATTTTAAGGTAATGCCACTTTTTCTGCTCCTCGTGTTTATTACACAAAAAATCTTGGTGACTCATCTGTTTGCATATTGATATCATTGCCTTATTTGCCTGATATTGCTCCTTCCTCCCCTGTGTGTAGCCCACATATTTGTCTGGTATAGGTACACAAGTATTCTACTGGTATCTCATGTTTACATAATAATTAAAGATTAATCTATAAAGTTGCCAAAATCATCTTTATCAGTGTTTAATTCCTGATGAGTCCATTGTGCGTTCTTTCAGGCAGAATGGTGTAGGTGTAAACTCCATGTGTGCTCGTGTGGCGGGCATCCTTGCTCCACTGATCAGGCTCCTGGACGTTTACCATCACACCATCCCCATGCTGATATACGGCATCGTCCCCATTGCTGCTGCAGGTTTCTGTTTGCTACTGCCTGAAACCCTCAATGTTGAACTGCAGGACCACGCTGAACTCAAGTGAGCTGAGTATAAATACTGGATTTGACATAAATCTACACATACAAAATATACCAACTGTATTTATTAATCATTATTTTTTCTTTTTTTAAATTTAGAAAACCAGCGAATGGACCTACTGTGAACAGTTACAGTACTGAACAAATTATTGAAGAGAACAAACTTTAATTTGTACCGAAATTATAATCTTTTTTTTTTCCCCTCATGTATAATCAGATATATGAACTGTCTACCAACTACACAGATTACACTACAATTTTTGCTGTTTTTAATTATAGTTTGGGATGCAGAAATCAAACTAATCATAATTATTAAGTGTCAAACATTATTTATTTTAATGTCATGATCTGTTAAAGATTCATTTTAGTGCATTTCATAGCTGGAAGTTTATTAGAAATTGATTTATTCTCAAAAATGACCGATTAATTGGCCACTCAGCAGCTTAGGCAGCAAATGTTGTATGAAAATGATAATGAAAATGAAATGAAATTGTGATTCACTGAAATACACATGGGGATGGAGCATCTTTGCTCCATTACTAACGGTTCTCCCAAAAAATGTCAGTGAACAGGACACACGGCCTAACTGAGCAGCATATGTGTGCCATGGAACCTCTTAATTTTGTTGCTCATGTTAACAGTCACACAGCCCGTATGAGCAGTGCGGCTCATCGAGCATGTTGTCTATTTTTCCACGTGACACATGCGGCTGTTTAAAATGAATGTAAATGATGTTTATAATGAAATGGAAAACAGGGAGCGTGGTATGTTTTGTACAGTTTTGTAACATTACATATCAGTAACTAAAGGAAAACAATAAAATCTATAAGGAATTTAAATGTTGTACATGTCATGTATTAATAATCACCAAAATGTTGGACACTGCCCCTTTGTCCATAGTTCCTAATGGCTGGCCTGATCTACTGTATATCATGGGATGTCAGTTAAAGTAAAACACATAACTTGCAGACGCAGCAGCTCAGGTTAAGCAAAGTTTACGGGTCATGATCATAACAGGTTTCGGCACCGTGCAGACAGTCACTACAGGCAAACAGGTCCAAAAGGGCATGCTTGACTCTACGTTTATTGCTGTGTGTTTGAACCTACATGTGTGTAGCTGGTAGTTTTCTGTATGCTGCTGAACATGTGATCCTTTTTTTCCTGCACTGTAAAGGTCTTTGTATGAACAGGGTTGTAGTACAGCTGCTACATAAATGAAGCTAAATTTACCAAGGCTAAGTTATTATCAGTTTGTTTGTTGAAAGTTTTACCACTGGTGAAAAGTTTATATATAATAGATTTAAGAGACACCTAAAAATATTAACACCATAACTACTTTTATTACTAGTTTATTATTGTGATTTAGAAGAGACTACTTTATAAGAAAGCTTTATTTCACATTTTAATGCTTTGTCCTGATAGTAGGCTGTAACTTAAAAGCCATTACCTCAGATAGAATTGCTAATTAATGCTTTTAAGAAATAAAAAGCTGGTAAAAGACATAAATCAAGCTTATATAGTAATTATTAAATATTTCCCCTGTGCTTGTGTAGTCAATCAGTAAGTGTAATTTATAAAGACATCATACTTTTTTTTAGTTTTTCAGGAGAAATAGTGTGTTTATTATCCACTGTGTGGTAACAGGGATTCTTTACTGTCACCTGAATTAAAACTATTAAACATCGATTTTTTTTGGCTCTCTCCAGTCTGTTTAAGATGTATATTGCTTCTACAGAAGTTTTAGAAAAACTGATAATTGAATTTTGGATTAAATTTTTGCATATGTGCATATTTTAAAATCATTTGTTTAATTGATCTCGATTAGTGCTGTCAGGATTTAGCTTGAAACACATTTTGTTCTCTGACTTTCAACTGGGCCTCAATTTGTCTTTACCCCTGTTTTAGGCTCCATAACAGATATGTTAGTGATGATGGTCTCTGTGCATTTTATAACTACGTAAGTGAAGTGATGTATTGTCATTTTCTGTGCTACTGCTTATTTCATTACTTTACCCATACTACCTTTTACAGCCAACTGTACTAAGAGATAACAGCTATACATCCAGCGCTGTATCACACTCATGTAATGTACTGGGTTAAATATTAATAAGTAAGATGGGGTATATTAGCCTGTGCATTGACTGATAGCACATGGAGCATGGCACAACCATTTCCCACACTGCATTCTCATGCGGAACCTCTATCAATTTAGCTGCACATCACTATGAGCAGCTTCGGGCAGATCCTAAAGGAGGTTGGGGAGTTTGGTTTGTTTCAGAAACGGTTATTGGCTGCATTATGCATCCCCAGCATATTTGCTGCTTTTGATGTGATCGGTCAGGTGTTTGCAGGAGTGAGCTTTCCACATCACTGTAACGCTGACTGGATCTTGGAGCGTGGGCCAAACCTGACGGATGAAAGACGAAGAAATCTCACCATCCCAGTGAATAAGGATGGGAAGTATGAAAGTTGTAAAATGTTCACACCTGTGGATGTGGATTTGGATTTGGAAATTATTGAAGCATATGGGATTAACACTACAACAGGATGCACAGATGGATGGGACTATGAGACACCTGTAGGTGCTTCGAGCATAATGTCAGAGGTAAGCAAGCTAACAGCTAAGGGCCCCTAGTAGACTCAAGACCCTCAGTCTCTCAGCTCTGTGTATTAGGACTGTAATTCCTTGCCATGCCCCTGCTCTCTGTTTTTGATCTGTGAAGTAAGACAAAGTAATAATACTTAGTTACTGTACTTAAATATTTTGGGGAGTATTTGTACTTTACATAAGTCTTTAAATATCTGTCAACTTTTACTTTTACTCCACTACATATCTGTACAATATATACTGTTACTCTAACACATTTCCCCTAAGCATCTTCATTACTTCGTTACTACAAAATAAAATCAGGTTTGGTGAATCAGTGGTCCTAGCTTGCAAATGAGGTCATAGGTTCATGACGTAAGGGTAAGTACAAACAAGTGCTTTCAAAGCAGCAGTTAATTTTCCATTTAAAGTCAAGACCAGGCTGCATGTTGGATTAGATGCTACATGCTAGCAACTATGTGAGTAGTAGTTGCCGATGAGGCTGACTGCATGATGCAGAAAGTGGAGTCCCACAGCAGAGAGGGTGGTAGTAATTCAGTGAGATACAGATTTGTGTGTCAGTGCTAGAGGTCAAAGGTTTTTTGAAATCCTTTAAGTTGGTTTATATTTTAAGAGAAAATAAACTTCGGAATTCTCAAAATTCTGATCGCTTGCTTTTTATTAACAGCACTTGTACTTTTACTTTAAATACTTAAGTATATTTAATATCACAAAACCACTTTGATTCTTAAGTACAATATATATCAGATACTTTGAGACTTTTACACAAGTAATATTCTAATAGGTGACTTTAACTTCAAGTCAATTTCTGGTAAGATATCTGTACTTTTCTCAGGTGACACTTTCATGAACTTTCATGTTGGTCCACCACTGTCCTTTCTCCTCTTTTCAAAATCCTTTTCTCTTTTCAGTTTGATCTGGTTTGTGACAAGAACGGTAGGATCGAGGCCTCACAGTCCATCTACATGGCAGGTTTTCTGTTTGGAGCGTTGACGTTTGGGGCAATTTCTGACAGGTGAGGACCAATAACATATACACTTTAACCTCCAACGTAAGTAATAGTTGTCATTCTTTGTATGACTGAAGGGGATTTTGATTTCACAGCAGCTGTCACCTTGATAATTATAATTTGTGTTAAGTACAAGACTTGTGGGTGTCACCCAACGCGTCTTCATTCCCAGCTTGTCAAATACAATAACTTGGTCAGTGGCCCTCGGCATCACATATAGATGCACAAGACACTCTCTAGCATTTGTATGAGACACCCTGGCTTTTGGTTAAGCCCAATGTAAACCCATTGTCAGCAATATTAGGTGCTCAGAGTGACTGACTTAGTATGAAGAGCTAGAAACAAAACATACAAACAAACACAGGACTTTAGCCCAGGAGGTTCCATGTGAAACAACACATTCTCACTCCGACCTCGTCACATATTGACGTGCTTGGTCATGGACTTTCCACTTCCACATACGATGTGCAAGATACCCTGGGTGTGTTGGTTGTTGATGTTGTGGGACGCTGTGTCAAGTTCTGTCTGTTACATGCATTGTCTACCTTTTCACAGGAAATTTATCGTTTGCACTACGTCGCTACAACACCATGAATTGATGTTTTTTTCCCTCAACGCATGTGATAAGGTTTAAGCAACAAAAACGCTTGGTTAGGTTTTGTAAAGAAGGACAGGTTTTGGCTTTAGAATCTTACGGGATGCGACATTTCGTCCCCGTCCTGCCGCGTTTCCCCCCAACGCTGCCAAGCACTGTTCAAATGTAAAGGCAACAGGCTGCATATCAGGCAGAAGTTAATGGACGCCTTTTTTGGTTGGTTTCTGACGCCGCAAGTCACTGCCCAAGCACCGAATTTCAAAGACTTGGGAGTGAGACTGGGCTTTGTGAAACCAAAAGTCAACATTATTTGAACCTAAACCACGATCTTCAGTGTCTCCAAGTTTAAGGGCATGGTTCTCTGCTGGGAAAAAAAAGTGGACTGCCCCCTTGGAGTTGGGAGTAACCTACTGCCACAAGTGAAGGAGTTCTAGTATCTCAGTGTCTTGTGTACAATGGAGGGTAGAATTGAGCGTAAGATGGGCAGGCAGTTTTGTGCAGTTTCTGCATTGATGCAGGTGTTTCGCCAGACTGTTGTGGTGAAGGGGGAGCTGAGCTGGAAGACAAGGCTCGCAATTTATCAGTCCATCTATGTTCCCACCCTCACCTATGGTCATGAGATTTGGGTAGTGACCAAAAGAATTAGATAGCGGGTACACACGGCCAAAATGAGTTTTCTCCGTAGGATGGCTGGGCCCAGCCCTAGAGATAGACTAAGGAGCTCAGAGTGGAGCCGCTGCTTCTTCACATTGCAAGGTGCCAGTTGAGGTGGTTTGGGCATCTAATCTCCCAGACCAGGCTCCGCCTGGGCAATGCCTGTAAGAGGTTTTCTTGGCGTGTCCAACAGGTGGGAGACCCTCGGGTAGAGCCAGAACATGCTAGAGGGATTATATATGTCTCATCTGGCCTAAAAACACCTCAAAAACATTGCTGCAAAGAGGGACGTCTGGACTACCTTGCTAAGCCTACTGCCCCCATGACTAGGCCTGGATAAGCAGGGTCAATTGATATTTGACTATTCTAGGCAGCAAAGGGTTAGTTCACTGCACAAGCACAACAGCAGCGCAGAAGGAGCCGTAATAATTCTCATCAAATGATAAATGACTGTGGATAATAACACTGAATTACAGTCTACCTGTAAAATTATCTAGTAACATCATGTAACTAGATCAATGGAATGTCACCTCACCTCATTTATAGTTTCTCGCTTTACATTGATCGCAGTAAATTCTGCCTGCCGGTTTCCATTTACTTCACCATCCACCCACATATTGACACACAACCAATGCCTGTTTTCAGAGGAGCAAGTCAATCATTCTCTTGGCGTCATAATATCTTTTCCAGAAGGAGGTGAAGTTAATTTTAAGTATACACCTCTGACGTCATGTTAAGTATACACCTCTGACGACGGTGACCTTAATGGTTGGTACGGCTGTGGTCATGTGTTTCCTGTGTTGAAGTGGCCAGGTGGTCTCTCTTGGGGCAGTGCATTTTGGTAGTTGTGGGTTTTCTACCACTCGGGTGAAAGCAAATGCTACAGTCCTCTGTTTTCTCGGTCGTATAGCACCAATTTCAAAAGTTTTACTGCATAGACAGCATAGTTTCATGAAAAGCTGTGTTTTCAGTGGTGAAATACTTCTTTAAGGGATCATCTACCCAATAATCTATCTTCTTCTATGACAAGCGAACAGTGAATGATAAATAGTATTTAGATTCACCTTGTATCCTTTACAACAAATACTCTTCTCTGTTTGTAGGTTCGGGCGACGCTTTGCAATCCTCCTCTGCTTCTTTGTCCTACTATTGTCTGGTGTGGGTGCTGCTTTCTCACCAAACATCTATGTTTACATGGTCTTAAAATTTTTCTGTGGGAGTTCAGGAGGTGTCATTATAATGAACACATCTGTGATGGGTAAGTACACTGTTCATCTGTGACTAAGGACACTCATTGAATGAAATAGAAATGCTAAAAATCAGAACTAATGAGAGAGAAGATAGTGGTGGGGGGGTTGACATGGATGCCTAACATCAGGATCATCCGAGACACCTGTAGCTCATCTGCATATAAAGTAAACCTGGAAGATTTGAATCATGTCTTTCACCTCTTCATCTTTTTTATCAGTAGCTTCAATTCCACACTGCATGACTGTGACACTGAGCAGGCAACCGTTAGTCATACATTTGTAAAAATATATAAATATTCATATCAGTGCAAGGCTATTAACTCAACACTGTTGTTACCACTGAAATAAAATAATGTGTGATCATCTGTTTTATAGGAGTGGAGTGGACTCACTCATCTAAGTCTGCTCTTTGCACAATGTCCATCATTTTGTTCTTTCCTGCTGGACTGATGCTGTTGTCTGGCATTGCCTATTTAACCCCCAACTGGAGGATCCTGCAGCTGGTGCTCTACAGTCCTATTCTCCTCCTCCTAGGATTCTTGTACTGGTGAGCAGCCTCTCAGAGTTCAATACTTCAACAAGTTCATAAAGTGCTTCAAGCATAAAATAAAGAGGTTTTAATTCTAAAGCCCAGTTTAGACCAAAGTTTTGCAATGATACAAGTTGAAACATGCAACTACCTGCAACGTTCTGTTCTGAAAAGTTCTAAAAATCTGCTGGTTCACACCAATTTAACTAGATAAGACGGTGTATCATCTCTATGCATCAACTCTCTGTACTTCTGTTCTGCTTTCCAGCTTTTCAGGCTTATTTTGTGGCTAAATATAATTTGTCACTTCTTAAAATATGAATGAGGATAGTGATAGTGAGAGTCCCCCAATCCCAAATGGATCCCTTTACAGACCTAGGACCAATTCCATTTCTTCCCCTTAGCCCTGGTCTTGGCCCTTCCCCTTGGTTTTGCATGTTCACGTGAGGGGAAGTGGTGTCCCAATTCTCTGACAGGTTAGCTCTTAACCTGATGGAGAATTGGGACACCACTTCCCCTCACGTGAATGTGCAAAACCAAGGGGAAGGGCCAAGACAAGGGCTAAAGGGAAGAAATGGAATTGGTCCTAGGTCTGTAAGGGCTTAGGGCTTGAGTCAACAAGTCTGTAAGGGATCCATTTGGGATTGGGGGACTGGCTACAGTTGCATTTGTAGTAGTGATGAAATGGTGAAAAACAGAAACAAAACGGGCATCAGATGGACTGTAAGAAGTGCCAATAAGTTAGTCAATAATAAGCTGAGCTCAGACCGCTGCAACTTTTCTCTCCAACATTCCAAAATGGTTTTGTCTCATCGTGAATCTTTGGTCTGAACTGGGCCTAACATCACAGTCATGGTTTGTCATTTTGAACTTGTGTTCCATCAGGTTTCTCCCAGAGTCAGCTCGCTGGCTGATGACCCATGGCAGGAAGGTGGAGGCACAGAAGGAGCTCCAGAGGGCAGCCAGGGTTAACGGGAAGACGGTCCCAGAACATCTGCTGGACAAGGTGAGCTGCATCATCACACCTTGACTTCTGCCAAAATATAACAAACCTTTTTGTCATATGTAAACATTTTCAAAAACTGAACTCTTACTTTTTTAGCTTGAAATGGAGGGAACAGTGGAGAGAAGAAACATGTTGGACATCTTCCGAATATCGTATTTGAGAAAACGTACTTTCATAATGGGCTACAACTGGTACGTCTTCTTTAATTAGGATTATTGTTCATGCCACTGTCTTTGACAGTCTGGCGATCATTATACAGATACATCAGTCATGTTTAGCAATGATATGCAATAGCTACAGGTTTAATAGCACACATTTGTCACAATGATACTGTTTAACTGAACGTATTTCTGACTCTCCAACACTAGGTTCTCAATAAGTCTTCTGTATTATGGACTGAGCCTGAATGTTGGCAGTTTCGGCCTGAATATCTACCTCACACAGTTCATCTTTGGTGTTGTCGAAGTACCAGCAAACCTGAGTGTTTTGACCCTAGTTCAACATCTTGGAAGGAGAAAATGTCAAGTAGGCTACCTGTTCTTTGGGGGTGCTGCATGCCTCCTGGTCCTTGCTATCCCAAAAGGTTTGTTCGAAACCTCAGATATGTTCTCATGATCTGAAAACATTTGTTATAAAGGTGTGAATTTTTCAGTGTTTATCTGACAGGTACAGTGTATGGTTTTATAACATATTATTTACCCATCAGATCTTCCTGTGGTGGTAACAATCATAGCCGTAATAGGGAAATTTGCTGCTACTGCCTCTTTCGACACAGCCTATGTTTACACTGCAGAGTTATACCCAACCATTTTAAGGTAATGCCACTTTTTCTGCTCCTTGTGATGATTACATCAAAAAATAGTAACACTGATATCTGTCTAAATACTGAGATACATTTAGTTTTCCATTAAATGACATTTACTGTGATAAATGTGTAATTATACCACAAATAGCAACGCTAGACTGCATTTCCAATACTTAGTGATGTTCTTAGTATCTTAAAAAGAGGGTGAACAAGAGACTGCTTTTTTAATATTGTGTAACTACACTGTAAATACTAAACACTGGACACTGCATTAACAACAATGAATACTCCATATTTAAAAACCTACACCTGAATTTCCCGAATCTCCTTTTTACGCAGTAATGATATCACTTTGGTCCCTAATTAAAGGATAGCTTTGGCATTTTTCAAGCTGGAGCCTGTTTCCCCATGTAGATTGATCAAAGAGGCTGATGTGAATGAGGATGAATGAGGGAATGTGGTCCAGGTTAAGAAGGTGCCAAAGTTATCCTTTAATATTCAGGAATTTAAAAGATATTGTTAGTTAAAAGTTATTACTGCCTTTTTCTTCTTATCTGTTTTCTTCTTCCCCTTGTACATATCTGTGTTTGTATAGGAACCCACTATGTATTTTCTTGAAATTTCATCTATAGTTACTAAAATCATCCCAATCAGTGTTTGATTCCTGACGAGTCCATTATGACTTCTTTCAGGCAGAATGGTGTAGGTCTAAACTCCACGTGTGCTCGTGTGGCGGGCATCCTTGCGCCACTGATCAGGCTCCTGGGCGTCTACCATCACACCATCCCCATGCTGATATACGGTGTCGTCCCCATTGCTGCTGCAGGTTTCTCTTTACTACTGCCTGAAACCCTCAATGTTGAACTGCAGGACCACGCTGAGCTCAAGTGAGTTATGCTGGATTTGAAAATATATACATATATCTTCAAATTACATTAACTATTTTAAGTTTATTCTATGTGTTAATAATCCTTTTTTCTTTGATTAATTTTAGGAAACCAGGTATTGGACCTGCTGCGAACAGATACAGTGCTACAGTGCTACCGACGGACACAAGCATTAATTTGTACTGAAATCATTTAATATCGTAATCGTTTATTTTTCCTTATTCATAATCAGGTATGAAACTATCAACTATAATTTCTTGTTGTTTCAGTTAACTGATTTCTAACTGATTTATTTAACATGGATTTATCAGTCTGCAGTCACCAAAATTTAAAGCTTCAAATAAATAACTTTTTCATTTGTAAGCTATTAAATAAAGTTTTTTGTTGGTTATCTACAGTCTGTCAGATTTATTTTGCCTGTACAGAAGATTTTGATATTTTCATAATTTGACTTTGTTTATATATAAAATTCTGCATATGTGTAGTTGTTATAAAATCATTTGTTGTATCATCTGATCTCAGTCATCGGTGTCAAGATTAAACTTGAAGCATATTTTGCTCTTGGACTTTTAACTGTGCCTCACATTTTGTTTTCCCATTATAGACTCTATTCCAGATATCTGGTAGTTATAGTGGTCTGACTGCATTTTATGGCTACATAAGTTATGTAGAGTTACATATATTATCGTTATCTATGTTATTGCCACTTTTCTTATTTTATACAGACCAGCTTTTACAGTCAGTGGACCTGTGCCAACCGTACTAAAAGACAACAGGTTGGGTTGGTATCTCTGGAACTGCCCTCCAGTGGTTCACTTCATACTTTTCAGATAGAAAATTTTCTGTCTGTCAATGGTTTCACATCATCTCAAGCCCGGTCTATGTTTGGAGTGCCACAGGGATCCATTCTTGGTCCAATTTTATTCTTTTTGTATTTGCTTCCCTTGGACCACATTATTAGACAATATGATATTTAATTTCATTGTTACACTGATGACACTCAGCTGTACTTGTCCTGCAAACCATCAGAATCAGCTAAATTATCTGCCCTGCATAATTGCCTAGCTGCAGTTAAGGACTGGATGGCAGTGAATTTTCTCCAACTGAACGCCTCTAAAACAGAGGTCCTTATTATAGGCCCTGAGCACTCTCAGCAGCTATGAGCAGCTTCGGGCAGATCCTGAAGGAGGTCGGGGACTTCGGTTTGTTTCAGAAACGGTTATTGGCTGCATTGCATCCCCACCATATCTGCTGCTTTAACAAGATTGGTCAGGTGTTTACAGGAATGAGCTTTCCACACCACTGTAACACTGACTGGATCTTGGAGCGTGGGACAAACCTGCCAGATGAGAGACAAACAGTCCTTTTCATTATGCTTAATTATGCTTACTCGCCTCCTCTCTTCCCACGTGACCCTGAAATCAATCCCCGATCATGAAGGATCTTCCAATTCCATGATTGCACCTCTAGGAGATTAGGAGAAAGGAGTCTTTTGGAGGAGCTTAAAGCGAGGACACACTGGTGTATCCTACATGCAAAGTAGCATGACTACGGAGCTCCCCTAGGGTTATGGCAAGATTGTGTTGTATTGGACCCTGAGGTGTGGGAGCCCCTCTGTGCAGAGTTTGCATGTTCTCCCTGTGTCAGCATGAGTTTTCTAGGGGTACTCCGGCTTCCTCCCATTATCCAAAGACATGCAGGTTAACTGGTGACTCAAAATTGTCCATAGGTGAGAATGTGAGTGTGAATGGTTGTCTGTCTCTACGTGTCAGCCCTGTGATAGTCTGGTGACCTGTCAAGGATTTGCCCTGCCTCTCGCCCAATGTCAGATGGGATAGGCTCCAGCACCCCTGCAACCACCAACAGGAAAAGCGGTTACGGAAAATGAATGAATGAACGAACAGTTACGTGATGAGATGCAATATAATGTGACATCACCCTGTGTGTAATAAATGCAAGTCTTTAGATTATATAAAATAATTTAATTGTGAAGTACTGTGGCATCACACAAAGCAAAAGTTATTTTTTTGTTTGTTTTTTATTTACAATCCAACAAACACACTGGTGGTTCACGGGTCATGACAGTAGCTTACAACAACATTATTGAAAGTAATAATATTATAGTTATAGTTCTGGCTACTGTGGTACAATATGTTGAAAGTATATATTAATATCTGGCAGTATACATGTGTGACAATAGTCATATGTGTATAATAACAGTAGAAGTATGACTAATGACTAATGATGGCAGCAGCAGCAGGAGGCATCTGGCAGGACCACGGCAGCAGCACAACCACACACGTCACGCTGTCCAGGCACCNGCTTTGGCATTTTTCAAGCTGGAGCCTGTTTCCCCATGTAGATTGATCAAAGAGGCTGATGTGAATGAGGATGAATGAGGGAATGTGGTCCAGGTTAAGAAGGTGCCAAAGTTATCCTTTAATATTCAGGAATTTAAAAGATATTGTTAGTTAAAAGTTATTACTGCCTTTTTCTTCTTATCTGTTGTCTTCTTCCCCTTGTACATATCTGTGTTTGTATAGGAACCCACTATGTATTTTCTTGAAATTTCATCTATAGTTACTAAAATCATCCCAATCAGTGTTTGATTCCTGACGAGTCCATTATGACTTCTTTCAGGCAGAATGGTGTAGGTCTAAACTCCACGTGTGCTCGTGTGGCGGGCATCCTTGCGCCACTGATCAGGCTCCTGGGCGTCTACCATCACACCATCCCCATGCTGATATACGGTGTCGTCCCCATTGCTGCTGCAGGTTTCTTTTTTCTACTGCCTGAAACCCTCAATGTTGAACTGCAGGACCACGCTGAGCTCAAGTGAGTTATGCTGGATTTGAAAATATATACATATATCTTCAAATTACATTAACTATTTTAAGTTTATTCTATGTGTTAATAATCCTTTTTTCTTTGATTAATTTTAGGAAACCAGGTATTGGACCTGCTGCGAACAGATACAGTGCTACAGTGCTACCGACGGACACAAGCATTAATTTGTACTGAAATCATTTAATATCGTAATCGTTTATTTTTCCTGATTTATAATCAGGTATGAAACTGTCAACTACAATTTGTTGTTGTTTCAATTAACTGATTTATAATTGATTTATTTAACAGATATTTATTTAACAGGGATATATCAGTGTGCAGTCACCTACATTTAAAGCTTCACATAAATATCTCTCTGTTTGTAAGTTATTAAATAAAGTTTTTTGTTGGTTATCTACAGTCTGTTAGATTTATTTTGCTTCTACAGAAGATTTTGATATTTTCATAATTTGACTTTGTTTATATTTAAAATTCTGCATATGTGTAGTTGTTATAAAATCATTTGTTGTATCATCTGATCTCAGTCATTTGTGTCAAGATTAAACTTGAAGCATATTTTGCTCTTGGACTTTTAACTGTGCCTCACCTTATGTTTTCCCATTATAGACTCTGTTCCAGATATCTGGTAGTTATAGTGGTCTGATTGCATTTTATGGCTACAAATGTTATGTAGAGTTACATATATTATCATTATCTATGTTATTGCCACTTTTATTATTTTATACAGACCAGCTTTTACAGTCGTAAAAATACATCTCGTATTAACGTGCGTCTTGGGTGATCAGATCACAAGTGGACAGCTCTAAGTACAGATGGGAATGCACCCAGTGTGTCCTCAATGCATCATGAGTCCAATCACTCAGACCACAATGGAAGGTGCTCTGGGTCGTATATTGCAACATTCTTTCAGTGTGTTTGCTCATGTGTCCTGGGCCACATAGAAGGACCGCCTACTCAGCTGATGTCCTAGCTTATCCAACTCACAATGTCTGTTGCTGCCATTATGCAGGTCAGAATCAGCACTGGAAGACTGTATCCAGAGCCATTCACCCTGGGATAGTGAATGGTCAGTTAAACGTTAGCACGAGCTAACACAGCAGCAACTGTGAAGTGGTCACAACAAACTCACAATTAAATCAAAACAGCTAAACTTGTTAATACCCATGAGGTAACATTAGCTGTGTTAATGAAGATTCATCTAGGTCATGGTCATCGTAAGTGCTATATTGTAGGCAACTGTACTTGCTTGAGTTTCTTTGAAACGTTTCACCTCTTATCCATGACACTTCTTCAGTTGTGACTGGTGCAGAGTTGCAGGCTTTAAACTCTGTGTGGGTGTGAACCCTTGTAGAGTTGTTGAGGTCACTTGTGAGCTCTTGAGTTTCAAAGTCGTTAGGGTCACATGTGAGTCGTTGACGCACCTGACCATCGTGTGTGTCATTAGGGTCAGGTGTCAATGGGTGTTAAGCTGTTTGGGGAGAGATCTCAAGACTGAATTGTAAGTGGTGTCACAGGCCAGCTTTTCTTTTGTACCATCTGTTTTCCCTGGCCCCAGTCCTTTAGCTGTAAATGGACCACTGGGTGTTGACCTGAGGAGCTGGCTCTCCTGTGCTGTGCCATGTACCTACAGGGTGGATGTTTTGTTTGCCCAATGTAGACATTTGAGCATTTCTAGCAGCACTGAACTGAGAAACTCAGAGCTCACATGTGACCTCAGCGACTCTGTATGTGTTCACACCCACACACAGGGTTAAAACCTGTGAAATCACCACCAGTCCGTTAAAACTGAAGAAGCCTCTTGGGTGAGAGGTGAAACGTCTTCAAGAAACTCAAGCAAGTCCAGCTGCTCAAGATACAGCACTTAAGATTAGCCGTGTTAAGGCTAAGGCTTTGTGGCTCTGACAAAAAAAAAAAAAAAAAAAAAAAATCACATGAAAATCAACATCTTTTTTTTTTATATACATTTTTCTTTTTCTTTATCATTGTTGTAGGCATAAAGAAATTCTTTCATTCTCCAGTTGTACCTCAGTCTAGTCTTGAGCCTCCCCACCTAGGCTAGCAATGGATTCCAAATCCATAAACGTAAAAGTCTCACAGGAAAATACAGACTTTAATATTGAGTGGACATATTCGTTTGCTTTCACTGTCAGCACTGCAAAGTTAAAGTGTCAAACAATAATAAGAAAGCCCACTGCAGAGGAGCCATCTTGTGGTAAAACAGATTTTCGGATGCTCATATAGACCTATTTTTAATGTTGATAGGCTAATATCGTGTTAATGTGAGTTAATGTAAATGTAAATGTACTAAGTTATATTTCACCGATTTCTCCATAGTTATTGTGTAAAACAACCACATACTGTGATTCATGCATACCAATGCACTCATCCACATGTTTAGTCTGTGTTGAATATATGTCACCTCTGATCTGGTAACATTATTAGGTATACTGTGATTGAATTTTTTTTTTTTTTAAATTATGGTAGGATTAGGACCGAACATATTGGAAGTTAGACCATGACTGTGCATGTCCAGATGGCCCAAAGCATTACACTATTATGCTCTGACTCATCCATTATGAAGTCATATCCAGACATGCCTGGGCATTACACCATTATGTTCTAACTCATGTGGGAAGGATTAAGGAAATGAGGTGGAGACTCATAAGAATCTCCACGAGCATAAAAGAAAAAGCGCAGAGAGCTAGTCTTCAG